ATGTTTGGTTCTGTGTCCCATGCCAGTCAGGCAGGGGAAGCTAAGTAAAGAGGGGCTACGTTTGGCCTTGGCTGTGTGGGAGACTGGAGAATCAGGGAAGGCATGGCAAGACCAGAATTCCTTTCACAGGGTGAGCTGACTTCTAGCCTTTAGTGACCATCTGAGTCTTGTTCATTCTTGGTATTCCTGGGCAGAGCACAGTGCTCACACACAGACACCTGGCAAGAAATGTTTATGGAAAGGAATGCAGAATGTAGGAGGGAGAGAGAGAGAGAAAGGGAAAGACAGGGAGGGAGATGGGAGGGGAGAAGTAGGAAAAGAGAAGGAAAGAAGAAGATAAGCAGATGTAAGGATTCAAAAGAGACAAGGAAGAAACTGGGAGGAGGAGGGATAGAGAGGAATGGAGGGACAAACAGAGGAGAAAATAAGGAGGAAGATAAATAAAAGGAACACATAGGTAAAGAAAAGGCAGGTACTGGAAGGAAAATGAGGTAAAGGAAGGGGATAAAGGGAAGAAATGTGGCAATGTCAGCAAAAGCATTCAAGAGGGAAGCCACTAGAATAATCGTGGATTTGGGGATACCTTGGGAGCTCTAATGGCATAGTGCTTAAGGCATTTGACTGCTAACTAGAAGACTGGAGGTTCAAACCCACTAGTACTCCTCAGAAGGAAGGTTGGGCAATCTACTTCCATAGAGATACCACCTCAGAAACCCAAGGAGGGGTTGCTATGAGTCGAATCAACTTGATGGCAGTGAGTTTGATTTGGTTTTTGTTGGGGATACCTTGTTGTTAATCGTGACTTTCTCACAGGCTTAGCCTTTCTCAACTCCTATTTCATTAAATATCTACACTGCTCAATTTAGCACTTTATCAGATTATCAAGGTGTTTCATAAATATTATCCTATTGTCCCAACGGGACTTGTGGAGAGCAGAGTAGGTTCTCGGATTTCTTTTGTGCTCTGACCATTCCCTTCCCTGGTGCCTGGGTCCCTGGAAACCTTGAAAACATCTATTGCTGTGGGTGAGCAACTACCGTTTTATTTTCTGTGTAGATAAATGGAGAGTATTATTGCTTCCCCTGTCACATGCTTGCCAGAGGTGCTGTGATATCCAAAAACATATTCATTACAGCCTGTCTAAGTCCTGGAAAATGCACCCACTCATTCATTAGCACATTCTGACAGGTGGCTATTAGAACACCAGAATATATGTGATAGTAAAGATGACTCAGGGAGGCAATCTTACAAACACCACTCGGAATGTCTCACCTTCCCCTCACCACCACCACCCCACCAGCTGCACTCTGGGCAAGAGCAGGGAATGTGTATAATTCAGGATTTGAATCCCCTTGGAACTGATGAGATGTTTTGAGTTTCTGTTTCCAGAGGCAGCTTTTAGTTCAGAAATACTAATGATGGGTCCCTCTGATAGGAGATCCACATGTGTCTATAAGCATCCAAGCCCATCACCAAATAGTGGTGTCATGTCAGAACAGCAGCTGTCTCAAAGCTAACTTTCAGAACTCAATCTCCCACTCTCCGGGCGTTGGGCGGAGGCTGCAGGCATGTAGAAAGGGCAGCCGAACACACTTGTAGAATCTGCTCCCCTAATCTCCTAAAGAATACAGCATTTGTAGGGGAAGCAGAGGATCTCCTCCTCTTTGCTAAATACAAATTAGGAAATGTTTATCTGCTAGTGCTCAACTCAAAAGTGACCTCTGTGTTACTTAGGGCCAGAAGGAGAGAGGGCTTGAAGGGCTCTGGGGCCAATGTGGGGATCCCATTTATTAGTCAGGAACAATTTTCAAGATGGTATGGCTTACTTTAATGGGCTCCACTGCCTGTGCCTGGGGCGCCATTGTTGACTCAACACAAGAGGCTTCTGGGAGCCATTTTTCGCCCTCCCCCTTGCCCATCCTCCTTGAAATGAGTCTTAATGACTTTGTCATATGTTTCTGATACAAGATAGCTGGATGACTGAGAGTGGGAGTGTTAGAAGAGGCTGAGAAAAGTATGCAAATATCATTTTCCAAGAGCAGGAATATTTAACTAGAATATCGTATAGTCCATTATTGGGCTACACAAGTTTTAGGGAGCCATATGTAACTTACATGCACAGTATAAATTAATTCTGGTCTCTCCTTCCATTCCTAATCATGCTCATACCCACATGTGGCCTTTGGAGAAATCTTAATAAAAACAGCTGCACATTCATTACAGAGCAGGGGCTGAGCCTTCTCTCTTTCCTCTTACTGGCACTGGGCACAATCTAAATGTTCTTTTACAACAATTATAATAATGATAGTGCTGTCTAATCTGTGTTATTCTAAGTGGGTTTTTGTGTTTTTTTTTTAAGTCATCCTACTTGAGTCAGAAGGCCCATGCACTGCGGAAGCAGAGCAGAGTCCTCTGCCTTAATGCAGCATTAACCGTAACTCTGCTGGGGCTCATGACCCACACAGTTCACTCTGATTAACCACAGGCAGGCGGCCCAGGCTGGCTGCACCTTAGAACCTCAGTATCAATGGGCTGTCAGCGGTTCCGGGATTATGAGCCTTTCGGTAGCTGATGCAGAGACAAAGCCCTGGTGGATACTTAGAGGGCAAAACCTCTCATTTTGTTTTCTGCTCAGAGCCCTGAGGAGATGCGATTCCAGTATAGAGCAATAATTTGCTTTCCAGATTAAAAAGCCTAAATATCCTTTCAGCCTCACAGGGATAGAAAAAAAAATATGTGGTCCAATCCCTGGCGCCCACCAATTTTAGTTATAACATTTTGCAGATATATTTTTACTCTGGGTATAAGGAACATTTGATAGCTCTACTGGGTATGTCATTCAGGACATGGAGGCCTTTCTAGGGGGTGGAGACACTACATATTTCCTGTGAAGGAAATACTGTCTTCATTATCTTCTAACATATAAGTACCATTCTGAGATGAGATGGAATTCCTCTCGACTGAATCCCTTCCAGAGAGGCCCATCACCTAATGACCAAAGGCCAGGTATGTGAATTCTCTCTCCTCAAGGACTACCTAACATATATCCTCAGAGACTCCTTAACTGAGCAGATGAGTGAGGGACATTCTGTCCCAAGGACAGAATAGAGCAAAAACTTCCACTCCACCAAGATAACTCAATGCATCACTTAATAAACCTTCTGTCTTGTGGGGTATTTTCTCACACCCACCCACATTCACACACTTGCACACTCAGCCATATTCTTATACTTCCTCATAGACTAACACACACACACACAAGACAGACACACACACACACCATTCATTCATTCCCACCCCACCCCTCATACTGGCACACCCACCTACATGCACATACACCCCACTCCTCACCACACACACACACACACACACACTCATACTTCACAGATGTGTGCGTCATCAACCTACACTGATGGAGCAGAGTAGACAGGACTCCAGGAATTCTCAGTTGAGTAACAAGTGGCTTCTTCGGACACTTCAGCTCAAACTTAAAAACAACTGCTTCGCAACCGAGACTTCTCATTTGGGATTTCCAGAGTGGGGAGGGAAAAAATGTCAACAATACAAGACAAAGATAATAGCAACAACAGAATCGTTTCTTGAGGGCTTATTCTATGTGAAGCAGTATTTCATTTAAACCTCTAGGCAAAGGTACTGCTGATACTAAGGAAGAATGATATTGGTGAAGGAAAGAAACAAAGACATCCTTCAAAGCTTCATCCCTTTAATGTGAGGTAACAGGAACATTTTCTATTACTTTTCTATCCATATGAGGGGCCACAGAGAAAACAATAATATGATCATGAAGTTCTAGAATCTCGTAAGAATCTCCTTTCTCCCTGTTTTGGTTACCATCACTAGCTGTAGGAGCTCTGGTGGCATAGTGGTTAAAGCATTCTGCTGCTAACCAAAATGTTGGCAGTTTGAACACACCAGCTGCTCTGAGGAAGAAAGATGAGGCAGTCTGCTTCTGTAAAGATTTACCACCTTGGGAACCCTATGGGGCAGTTGCACTCTGTCCTGGAGAGTCTCCATGAGTCAGAATCAACTCAATGACAGGGGGTTTGGATTTTTGGTATTCAGGGTCACAGAACTGTTGGCTGTGGGTCTGGTTCTTGTAAGTTCCATGCACTCTGCTGTGCTCCATGAAGGAATTTATTACTTATTTCCATTTTCCTTCTTCATAGAAAATTTAGCAAGCTCCTCAGTGACAGGCCTGCCTTCTCTGTTCTGCTCTGTGTCTATCCCCTTCCCCAAGCAGTCCTGGTAACGACATCACTTTAATTCAACAGGACCCCCTCAATGCTTACTCACAATGGAAAACATAAATTGAGCTTTTTTGTCCCTTCTCCCTTGGCACACAAATACTGCAATGGGCTAGGAATATAGCTAATTTACAGATGAGAAAAACTGACCCTCAGAGAAACAAGGAGAGACATCCTGACTCTGGGTGTGACCTAGAAGGATGGGCACAGTCCAGAATAACTGCAGCTCTTATTTTATTTTATTTTTTTCCATTTAGAGAATGCTGCAGAAAAGCCACCATTCATACAGTGTTTTTGAGAGATGTGTCAGACCTTTAAGTTATGTGAGGTGATTTTTCCTCTATTGTGTAAAGTCCTCCATGTAGAATTCTGTGAGAATATGGTCTAAGGATAATGCCCCATTAGCCATCCTGACCTGATTTCTCCCTTGTTTGGGGGAACTTCCAGGCCAATTTGCAATTTTAAAATCCTCATAAGCTTTTCAAAGTAATTTGGCATCTGCACTTCCCACAAAGTCACTGTCGTCAGATAATTTTTTTTTTTTTTTTCCTACAAAGGCAAAAGCAAGTGGGAAGCAGACAACTGTCTGCCCCAAACTGAGGACCTCGAAGGAGAAGGACTGGTAACCCCCTTCTTCTTGTATCCCTAAGACAGCCCCCACCTGGCCCCCCTCAGCTGGCAATCACAGCATGTTGAATTTCAACAACCAAAGTCTGTGAGAGAAGAGCGATTTACCTTGGAGTCCAGCTGCTGCATGTATGACCACAGATACTCTATATTGGCTCCAAAAGGATGGACGTGAAGAAACGTCGATATGATGCCTGAATTAAAAAGACAAACATTGGGCATTATTGAGAGGCAAATTAGAGTCTCAGTCAAATAATGTCATCAGACCCCAATGACTGTTTTGTCAGGCTGAGTTACCGTTCTGCAATTTCTAACGGCGCTTAGCAAACATTAGACAATAGTCTATTGTGAAGACAGTGATAGTAACATGGCAAAGGCAACCTTTATTTCCTGGAATGATTGTAGTTAGCAAAGCTAGACTCTATGATAATATACAGATGGATAAAGGTATTTCTAAACAAAGACTCCTGAAAGGATTTCAACTGCCAATTTTATGCTTGATTTACCAATACAAAATTGTAGTTGTTGGAAGGATAAAATTATCTCTTTTCTTTCCCTCAGTGGACTTTTTTTCAATGAAAATGGCTCACACAGCTGTGTCAGAAATCACACTGCCTCAAATTTTCCTGATAATTATAGTTGGTAGTTATGAAAAGTGCTTAATCCATATTGCCCCTGTCACTGAAGGAAGCCCAAATCCTGCCTGAAACAGCGGCTACTGCCCTTAGCTGTGGTTGTTTACAGGGAGCCAGCCAGCTTACTCCAGCTTGCTGCTGTAATTTATAAAATCATTTTAAAAGGTCTGGGAATGAATGGTTTGGCTGGAGTCTGATGATAAATCAGAAGCTTTTTCCATTGTGGAAATCAACTGTCAGCACTATACTGACAAATGACAAGCTGGGTACTGGTGTCATGACTTCAGTAAACAGCACTGTCTTCCTACCCTCCTTGTTCCTTTCTCTAGAATCAAAGCGGGAAAATAAGGATGGTGACTCCATGGACTGTGTGCTGCTGTCTGTTAAGAAGTCATGTTCAGTCTGACATTTTCAGTTCTCTCCAAAACTGGTTTTGAAATGAATGAAATCAGTGGAGAAGGCCTCACATTCCATCTGCTGTGAGGCATGGACTTTGATGCTTGAGTGCCACAGATATTAGGGAAGATCCACGTTTGAGATGTACAGTCAAGGAGCACACTATTCTTGCAGCAGGTCACCTTAGGAAGCTCAGGGTGAATGTAGGTTGATCTGGGTCGGGGCTCAATGGCTCCCCACTCTCCTGGGTGATGCTTGGGATGTTCTGAGACTAATATCAGTTTAAAGACAATTCCCCAGATCATCCTTAGGCCAAGGGCATATATCCGAAGGGCCCAGAGAGGCAGTTATCAAAGGCCTCTCCTCACATAATTGCTTTTATGAGGTTTTTATTGGTTTATAGTAAAATGAGGAAGATAGAAGCAATGTATTATGTTTCTCCATAACGCCAAAGTCTTGAAACTGACCTGCTTTTACAGAGACGTAAAGAACTACCATTTTATTCTGTGATTATTTCCTCTCTGTTTGTTGTTGCTGCTGCTAAAATGCCCTTTCTCTTATAAAATATTGGTGACAGTAGAAGATAATGGTGGCACTTTTAATATCTTTCAGTAGGGAAGTGACACTGTATTGTCCCCTCCCTCCCATAGACACCTTTATTTATTTTTTAATTTTACAGACATGACAACCATTGCCCTGTGTATGAAATTCTTAAATATGGTGAGATGGCATTGTAAATAATCTTCTTACTAATCAGACTTAAAATAAATAAGCTCATGAATGATTTATTTAAAAATAAATTAGAAGAGAAGTATGTAAGAAAATATCCCTTCACACTTGTATTCCTTAAGTGGGAGAGAGGGGGTAGAGTTGAAGCTAGTGAACAGGGAATTGCCTCTGTCTCAGGAAGGGAAGGTGGCTTCCCTTTATGGCCCAGAGCTGAGGACAAGTGGTTCTATGCCTACCATTCTCCACAGGGAGCTGCCAACACATGGCAGGCAGACTCCTCAATCTACCTACACACAGGAGGACAGGGGAGAAGGAATAGTTAACTTTGGCTTTGTGAGAAGGTGTATATCTACTGGGAAGCTTTTTTTTCCTCTTCCCTCAGAGGGTTCTTGCAGGGAGGGGAGGAGGTGCTCCAAGAAAGTGACTCATAGAGATTGGAGGCGGGGCTGCAAGTCTGGGAGACCAGCATTCTTTTCCTTAGTTGGACACCTGCTCAGGCAACAGGCTTTGTGATCTGGGTCTGCATGTAACTGGGCGCAGGGGAGAGACAGCAGGGCTGAGATGAGAGTGGCAGAGGCAGTGCAGTCTCAGCTGCTGGGGTGACAAGGATGTGTGAGTTTCCCATGAGGCAAATGGGCACTTCAGAAGGTAGATGGGCTTGAGCAATCTTAGAGGTAAACCCCCAAGGGGCCACAGCAGAGAGAGGAAAAAAAAAACAAAAAACACTTTTCATACGAATATTCCACTGGACTAAGACTCTTCAACATCTCTTAGAGAACATATTCTTGTTGTAGTTAGCTGCTGTCAAGTCAGCATCTTCCCCCCGGCCTCTACCACCCCGGCCTCATACCTACCCTGTACACAATAGAACAAAACACTGCCTGGTCCTGCATTATCCCCATGATTGGGTGCAGATCATCCACTGTGATTCATAGGGTTTTCATTGGATGATTTTTGCAAGTAAATTGCTAGGTGTTTTCTTCCTAATCCATCTTAGTCTGTAAACTCTGCTGAAACCTGTTCTGCATCATACAAAAGATAACCCATAGCCCCTCCTGTAAATGCCCATGGGAGCATGTTATGAATTTAAACACTTTCTGTAGAATGAGTCAGAGAGGGGTAGGGGAAGGAGGTTGATAATTCTTGGCCTAGGAGATGAGTTACCAGGACAAGAAATTCAGGCATACCAGAAATGGGAGGCTCTCAAATGGCTGTAAGGAGCTCTGGTGGTGTAGTTGTTAAGGAATTTGGCTGCTAACCAAAAGTTCAGTGGTTTGAACCTACTAGCCTCTCCGCAGAAGAAAGATGAGGTGATCTGCTTCTATAAAGGTTTACAGCCTTGGGAACCCAGTGGGGGTTGCTATAAGTTGGAACTGACTTGATGGCAGCGAGTTTAGAGTGAGCACATGGCTGCTGGTATTGCCCCAGTGATGTTGGCATCACCGTGCTTGCTCCCTCACTGCTGCTGCCCACCAGCTCCAATCCTGACTCTGGACCCCAGGGGACTCTGGTTTAATACCAGCAACATATTGTATTTACAATGAATGTGTATTAAATGAAATATTCTCTAGAACTGAGGACAGCTAGTAAAAAATGTATAAAATGTTTATTATTTTATTATGATGATGAAAGGGGTTAAGTAAGAATCTTAAAAATTTCTACCAGTAGTAATCAATGATGCTATGACACTCTTTCAAAAACCAGGTAACTTTGGGGCTTTGTTCACTGGTAACTCCTGCCCCTACCCCATCCTGTGTGGATTCAGAGTAACTTGGAGGTTTGGGTCATGAAACATTTTATTAAAATTATTTTGACCATAAAACTCAGGGGGAAATGCTCAAATGTACCCAGGGGTGATGTCTGTATACCTTTTACAAATCAGATTCGAATACTCACATAAATTTAAGTATTTTTCCTTATGAGTATATTTAGAACCATCTCAAACCAAAAAAACCAAACTCACTGGCATTGAGTTGATTCTGATTTATAGAACACCAATAGCATCTCAAAGGCTACAAATCTTTATGGAAGCAGATTTCCTCATCTTTCTTCTGTGGAGCAGCTGGTGGGTTTGAACCACAGACCTTTGATTAGCAGCCCAATGCCTTAACCAGTACACCACCAGAGCGCCTTCTGAACCACCTCAGTGGTAGCTAATATTAATGGGCTGTGAAATCTTCATCATAAAAGTTTGGGCACTGCCTCTACTTACATGCTAGGGCATGCAGACACCTAAGTAAAGGTTGCCCAAGGATGACAGCAGGGTTCTTCAGTATTGGTAGAGATACAGCAGAAATGGGAAGCACTGTCATCATCATTGAAGATACCCTGCCTTTCCTCATGCCCACTCCTCCCACTGAGCCCCAACTTATCCTGGCAGCATCTTAGAAGCATCAGTCTTGCCATCTGAGAAAATGTAGCTTCCAGGCCTTGGTTTTGGATCATATTCATTTTGGGAGAGCTTCCTTAATAAACAACTAAAGCTTCTTTGCAGCTACTTTAAAAAAGCTGGAATATTTTTTTTGGGGAATGGAAAAAGGATAGCTGCAACTCAAAATCTAATTAAGAGTGCTACATACCCAGAAGACTGAGACTGTTTTATGGTCCTTTGAGAGGGACCTGAAGACTTCATAAAAGAAACAACATTAGTAATTGAGGGTAGAGAATTTAACCATAACTGAACTGTTGGGTCTACAATAATTGGTTTTGGTAGTTTCCATGGAGAAGTAGAAAGTCTCCATGGGTTTTTCAACACTGGAAAATACAGTAGAGAGTAGCTAATTTAAAAAAAAAAAAAAACTACAAAAAGAAGTTGTCTTAGTTCTCTAGTGCTGCTATAACAGAAATACAACAAGTGGATGGCTTTAACAAACAATTTTTTTCTTTTTCCTCACAGTTCAGGAGGCTAGACATCTGAGTTCAGGGTGCTGACTCTAGGAGAAGGCTTTCTTTCTCTGTTAGCTCTGAAGGAAGGACCTTGGAAGGTCCATCTCTTCTGAGTTTGCTGCTTTTCATGTCTCTTAGCATCTATCTTCCCCCATCTGGTTGCTTCTCCTTTCTTTTATCTCCTGTAATATAAAAGGTGTGACTCAAGCAAGGGTATGACTTGAGTAAGGGTGTGACTTGAATCATACCCTCTTGTAAGGCTGTGGTTCCAGACACACCCCACACTGATATTCCTTATTAATATGGAGATGTTAGGATATACAACACATCATGGAATGGAAGATAATTAGATCACAAAATGGAGGGCAATCACACAATACTGGGAATCATGACCTAGCCAAGTCCACACCTATTTTTAAAGGATACAATTCAATCCATGACAGTGGTTGTCAGTACTACGGGGTACTTTTTGCACATCTCAAGGCCTTAAAAACAACTTTGGATCGATACCCAAACCAACTCTGTACATCCCACGGCACACCCTCCTT